TGTAAACTTTCAGCAGCAGAAGTGGTCACACAACTGTGGACCTTAAAAAATATAGAAAAATAATAGAATAAGTGACAGAATATAAAAAAAATGTCCAATCCAATTTTATTTGTTCAAAAACAGCCTCAGCTGACCACATGCTGTAAAAAAAATAAATAAGTAGAACATAAAACAGTGTAAATAAAGAAGCAAAACAGCTAAAACATGAGTGAAAATAACATTCACATAAAATATGAAATAAAAAATAAATAAAAAAAATAAAATAATGGACTGAACAGTGTTTTAACAAATATAAATACTTTGCTTCTAAAGAACAGATCATCAATATACAGCTTCCAACATTTTTACAGTATAGTTTTATATATATATGTATTGAGAGAGATGTGTGTATGTATATATTATATAGAAGTTATAAAAATGTGTTTGTGCTTTGCAACATGCATCCATCTAATTAGAATATTTTATTACTTTTAACCCACTTAGAATATTAAAATAAACTGAATCATTTGTTTGTTTTCAGTAAAAAAAAAGGCAATACTGAAAATGAGTTTAATATAATAAAATTTTAAAGTATTAAAGTTGATTCTGTTCCGGCTGAGCACATTACACAGAGCCCAGCTGTGACCTCCCCAAGATGGCGTCACCAATGTCTGCCCATAGGAGAAGGCGGATGTTGCTGTTAACAGCCCTGATGCTGAGCCAACATGGCCGCCCGCGGCGCTCCGCAGGCCCCAGCAGGTCGATTAGTTCATCAACAGCAGCTAACACGCTCTGTTCTCCCTCCTGCAGGTATGATGATTATTACTACTACCCTCCTCCTCACGTGGCTCCTCCCACCAGGGGGCGGGGCCGAGGGGGCAACCGGGGCGGCTACGGTTACCCTCAGGATTACTACAGCTACGACGACTACTACGATTACTATGGCTACGACTACCACAACTACCGTGGCGGCTACGACGACCCCTACTACGGCTACGACGACTTCCAGACCCCGGGGCGGGGGCGGGGCGCCAGCCGGGGGCCCAGGGGCGGAGCCTCCCCGGTGAGGGGCCGCGGCGGGGCCGGCGCACCCAGAGGCAGAGCCAGCTTCTCGCAGCGCGGCGGTGGCGGCGGCGTGCCCGGATTGGGCCGTGGAGGACGCGGATCAAGAGGAGGCGTGCCGCCGAGAGGGCGAGGAGGGGTACGTGGTGCGCGGGGCGGCCGCGGTGGAAATGTAGGAGGAAAGCGCAAAGCTGATGGCTACAACCAGCCAGATTCCAAGCGCCGCCAGACCCAGAATCAGAACTGGGGCTCGCAACCCATTGCTCAGCAACCGCTCCAAGGTGGTGATCATTCTGGTAACTATTCCGGTTACAAATCTGACAACCAGGAATTTTATCAGGATTCTTTTGGGCAGCAGTGGAAGTAAAGCAGTAGGGCTTCGATCTAAAATAAAAACATCCTGATTTTTCTCTTTTGCTTTAAAGACTTGATCTGATTGGCGCTCAGTCGCACGCTGCATTTTTTCCCTCCAAATTGGTGACAACTGGCAAGATCTCTGTACATAAAACCAAAAAAAACAAAAAAAACCCGCTTGGACTCCAAACGTAACCCCACCCCCACCTGTTTCTGGCGAACTGCTCTTCTTCTCCCCTGTTTTTAGAGGCAGGTTTGTGCTGCAGCTAGCTGTCTATTTGGCTAAAGCTTTCTGTATGTTTTTACACATCCTGGTTCCATGTTTGACGTTGCTAACGGCAACATAATGTGTCCTAAACCTGTACTTCCACGCCATGAAATGAGGATCTGTGTCGTCCGGGTAACAGAGCCGTCCTATTTTTTTTTTTTTTTTGGCTTGTATTCTTTGCTGTTTGTCTGCTTTAATAAACGTACACGCACTCGTGTAAGAAAAAAAAAACAACAAAAAACTTCAAATTGTGTTGAAAATTCATGTTTGGCCAAATTCTCTGTCCAAATTTCCTTGAAATTGAAAGGCTCCTTGAGGAAGAGAAGGACTGAAGGTTTGCGGACGCGGCGTCACCCTGCATGCCTCTCTGTGTAGTCACTCCATTCTTATCATGTCCAGAAACATTAATGTCTCACAAATTTGGTGTCCTAAATTCACTGGACGCAGCATCAAGCGTAAGCCCCCAGTTCTTTACATCACTGTGGGGGGGTGGGGTGGGGTGGGGGGGTTAGAGCAGAATCTGGTTTGATGTTTGAGGCGAAGCTTTTCTTGTCCCAGAAGGATCTTTCCTGCTGTTGATTTCCCGCCCTGGACTCTAACCCTGCATGCGCCTCCTGTGTTGGTTAGCTGCTTTGCATGACTCACACCCCCCCCCTGGCGCATCTGTCTGGTCTAGCTCTAGGGCTGCTCACCGCTTTCCTCCCCTCCCTGTGTGCGTGGCGCTCCGGTTTCCGGCCGGTTCTGTGCATGTGCGGACCCGTGCGGCGCCGCTCCCGTCTCCCGTCTCTAACTGCTGCCTTTTGTTACCCCGACTAGCAGGAGAAAGGCGTGGAGGCCGCCGCCGACGTGTTGCTATGAGGACCGGCCCGGCCCCGCCCGCTGGAGGAAACGGTAAGGTCAGCTGACTGCGCGGTCCGATGGGGATCCGGCCTCGCCGAGGAGCAGACGGAGGGACACTCGGATCCACCTGAGCCCGGATTCTTCTGGATGAATCTGTTTCTGTTTGGAGCCTTGAACTCTGTTCTGTTCTGGAGTTGGACTCGGATCATCAGAACCCGGCGCCGGAGGCGGGACCTTCCAGCAGAGCGGGTTTAACTACCTCAGTGTGGAGGGAGGGAGGGAGGGAGGCGGGATCTAGGCTGCTGCTCCTCTCTAACCGGGCCTCAACAGAACCTTGAACAGAAGAGCTGCTAAAATGACCCTCAGTCTTCCGCTCCAGAACCGACTGGGTCGTCTGGTTCTGAGCGCCCAGAACCAAGCAGAACCTGGCGGTTCGTCAGAGTGATGGAAGCTGACGCTTCCTAAAAACTCAGGACGCCACTTTTCTTTCCCTTCATCTGTGTTGAATGAAACGGGTCGGTACTGGACCGGACCGTCGTTCTGCTGCCGTGGGCCCGGTGCTACAAGTCCAATAATGTTTGATTCTGAGGGCGGTTCCTCCTGATGATCCAATCTGGGTCCCGCTCGGGTTCTGCTGACCCCCAGCAGGTTAGCAGAACCTTTGGAAGAACTCTGGGTCGAAGCAGAACCTTAAAGTTCTGTTTGGACCAGAACTCAGAGCCTGACGCTGATGTGGTCTGAACCTCCTGGAACCAGTTCTGACCCGGTTGAGTTCTGGATCAGCCGAGCCAAACAGAACTGGATCACAGGTGGGAACCGGAGCTGGAACCGCCCTGATGGAAGGTTAACAGTTCTCCACACCCCCCCAGTTCCTCACTGGGTTCTGATTAGGCCCGGTTCGCACGCTGAGGTTCTGGTGGGTGTGAACAGACGGAGCCTGATGATCCAGCAGAACCTCGATTCCCATCAGAACCTCATCTGTTTAAACCCAGTAGCCTCAGGTTCTGGTTCTGCTCTGATGTTCTGTGTTCCACCAGCAGACCTCCCAGCATGCCTGACAGAACCACAGCCTGGGATCTGGACTCTGTTCTGGACCCGGTTCTGGACCCGAGTCCAGATCCGACGCTAACGGCCTCAGAAACGTTCTGCTTTGGGAATATCTGATCCGTAAAAGGTCCGCCGCAGCGGTCCTGGCTCCGTTGGCTCGGATTAAGGAGCCGTCTGTGAGGCGCTGAAAGGCATTCTGGGAGTTGTAGTAGAACACAGCATGTTAGCTTCTCCTTTAAGTGCTTTAAAACAGGAAGCTGTTGCTGGATCTGCTCTGAGCTCCTGCAGAGGAAATGTTTTATACTGTACAGCCGCCTAAACCTAAACTTATTTTTCTAATAAACTCGTTAACCTTCAACCGGCTGCTTTTCTCACTCGATCCTTTAGTTTCACACATTTACAGAAATATGGACTGATTTCAGTTTGAAAGAAGAGTTTAGATTTGATCTTTTAGCAACAAATTCACATCAAATCTTTTTATAAAACAGATTTCTTAAATAAATTTCAAAATGGGAAAAGTACAGTTTAACATATTCCATCCATAACAGTTTTTATCAGACAAAACAATATAAACTTAAACTGATTAAAAGAATATAAATAAAAATTAAAACAGGTTTAGCTAAAGTGAAATAAACTTTAAGGCTTATTGAGGTTTGAAAACTTAAAATCACGTTAGAAGCTTTGAGATTCAGAGAAACTAAAGAATCTGCACCTTTGAATAAAAATAAAAAATCCACATTTTGTCCTGAAAAGTTCATCCTAATTTTACTCCTTTATATTTAAATTAGGAATCACATTTTTAGTTAATAACCAATCATAATAACCACATAAAAACCTTTAAAAAAAAAACACATTCTGCTGATTATAGATCGTTGTGATTAGATTTAAATTTTCAGAAATCTGCAGAGAGATAGATATTATTTATAGTTTTAAAATGAACTGCTTTCATCTTTGATAAAACAGGAAATTAGAAAACCTTTTAAAGGGCAAATTACACATTTTAATCCCTTTCATACCCCTTAATAAATGTTTCCCACATTCAGTAGGTAATGATAGAATACCTACTGGAAATAAAGTAAAAAAAAAAAGGTAAAAAGCTAATTAATAAGTTAATAAGTCTAGTTAATAATTATATTGAGGTTTCTAAACTAAAACCTACGTTCCAGTATCAGCATTAATGCCTCTAAAGTGACGTTGGACCAATAAAATGTGTTTCTTTTCTGTTTTTCATGAATTTCTTCTAGAAGCACTTTTATTTTTCTCAATATATTCGGGCAAATTGGTGTTTCTTGTTATTATGTTGACATTCATAAAAAAATAAAATATCTATATAAAGGTAATAAGGTCTTGGATTAAATCTGGATTTTCAAAGTATTTCACTGAGGCCCTATAAAGGGTTAATTTCTGAAAACACGTTTAAAGAGAAGTTCCTCTTACCTGGGAGAGGGAACATTTTTTATTGATGTTTTATATCATTTTGTTACTGAATTTGACATCCGAAACATTTTATTTATTAGGATAAACTGATAAATCACTTGAACAGAACCCGTCTGGCTACAGGAAGTAGGCGGGAAGTTGTTCCTCATCAGATGAGAGATAAAATTCATCGATCTGCCGGAACGGCTCCTGATTTCTAAAGGGTTCTGGAGAAACGCAGCGAGAACGGATCAGAGGAGAACCGCTCCGGTAAACGGACTCCAGGAGGGCCCAGAACCACAGGGTCAAAGGTCACGATTGAATGAGAAATCAGAGGCCTCCATGGGAGGGATCCAAAACAAGCCCCCGGAACCCCTTTTGACGGATTAGCGATCCGGATCCACCTGCCGGCTAATCCAGACCCAACCTGATTTAAATCATTTATAAATTACTGAATGTTGTCCAGAAACTGTCTAATTTCCCTTGCGCCTCTTCTCCTGTTAATACGGTAAAGCCCTGGGGAGCGTCCGGCTCCAGGCTGCACGTGATCCAAATGAGCCAATGAGCTGTCAGTCTGGGTTGCTGCTGCTGCTACTTTTAGACACAGCAGGCAAACCTGTGGCAAGCCGGGCGATGGGAAAGAAGGAGAAGACCATGAGAAAAAGAGAGCAGAGAAAGTGTGGACTGCTGGAAGAACTGCGGTGAACTGGTGAAAGAAAAGTGAAATGGCGTGCTCAAAGATGACCCTGCACATTTAGAGGATGTTTGGCTCAACCTGCTGCTGTGAAGCAGGATTCTCCACCATGAACAGAATCAACAATAAATCTGGATCCAGGCTCAAAATGAGCTCCTTGATATGTGCTTGAGAATGGCTTAGTCTCCGGTTAAACCCAGGTTTAAAGCCTTGCAGGGCAGCCTAAAGCCCACTGCCAACATTAAGACAGAAAAAAGAAAGAAAATAACAAACCATCAGTTCAGGGGTTTGAGAAAATATGGGAATCAGGAAATTATCTATAAACCAAACTGAACGATTGTTGTTCTCTACTTCAAATAATATTTAGATGTTAAATGGAAAAAGTTTCTTTTTTTTCTTTAAAAATTAAATCTATAACATGGATGCATTAAAAAAAACCTCATTTTATTTGTGTTAAATTCAGTTTAAAGTAACAGATCATTAAAAATGTCTCTGGACCTTTACTGGTTGCTGGTTTTCTTTATTCGGACCTGCTGGTTTCTAATTGGTGACCCCTGACTAACAGAACCAGAGGTTCCCCCTGACAGGCAGCCACAGTGGAGGCGGAGTAATGCTCTGGGCTGCTTCACACCAAAACAAACGATCGTTTAACCGGAAGTGGGGATGTTTGGAATGTGGGTTGCCATGTTGGGGCAGGAATACGCTCTGCTTAGCGGCCATAACTGATGACGTCAGCACTTTACACCTGGCCGCGTCGGTAAAGGTGAAGGAAGCTTCCGGTGTGGAGCGGCGGGTTTATGTGGCGGTCAGTGAACGCAGCACAGCTGATGTTCAGGCAGCTGCAGGAAGCAGGAGAGACTCCATGTTTTAGAGCTCAGTTATCCTGGAAGGAGAAAACAAACCGGATCTTATAAAATATGAAATAAAAACTTCAATCATTTCCCAGAAAGTGAAGAAGGATCAAACATCAGAAGCTCTGCGTCTTTCTGTCGGACCTGGCAACCCGCTGTGGGATTAAAGCGCCCTGCCGGAGAGGAAGTGGCTCCGACCCGGAGAAGTCTCCAACCAGAAGCAAAGTTTGGACTAAAGCTGCAGGAGAACCAGAACCTGGACCCAGAACCCGAACCGGGACCGACTAACAGACCGCTTCCGGATGAACCGGCTTTTATTTCTCAGCCTGGGGCTCTTGGCCCCTGAAGGTCCCGCTTAGAGGCGTTTTTCCGGTGTTTGCTCCGCCGGGATGGCGGCCTGGAGGCGCCGCATGGAGGAGCTGCTGCGCGGCGTGAAGGTGGAGGTCCTGAGGGAGGCAGGCCGGCAGTACCCGCTGACCTGCTGCCTGATGGTGGCGCTGCTGGCGCTCACTGTGCTGCTCAACAGGTGAGGAGGAGGAGGAGGATGAAGGTGGCTGATCCCCTGCAGGGTCACGTGACCCGGTTCTGTTTGGCAGGATCAAAGCAGAACCCGCCATAAAATCTGTTTATGTGGTGAATCTAAAAAAACGAGTTAATCCTTTGATCCTGTTTTATTACACTGCAAAAAATATCAGTCTAAGTAAATAAGTCAATTTTTCTTAAAATTAGTTTCATAGTAATAGTGAACGCAGCACTTTAAGGGGGGGGGGCTGAGATACACTTCATATTATCAGCGTTCTGGTTGCATTGCAGAAATAAGGAATAGTTGGATTAACCACACATGGAAACAGAGTTTTCTGGGGCCCCCAGGAAGTTGGGGCCCCAGGCAGCTGCCTGGTATTTCCTGAGGGTGAATCCCGTCCCTGCAGGTACCTCCACGTCCTGATGGTGTTCTGGTCGCTGCTGGCCGGGATCTTCACCTTCTACTGCTCGCTCAGACCGGACTCGCTGGTTCCCAGCTTCCTGTTCCCCATCAAACCCAGGAACAAGGTGGGACGCTCTCCGCTTCTCCGCCTGCTTCAGAACCTGCGGGTCTTCTGACTGTCTCTGTGTCCCACAGCGCCAGGAAGCCGAGCTCTTCCCTCTGGGCCACAGCTGCGCCGTCTGTGGGAAGATCAGATGCAAACGACACCGGTGAGTCACGGAAGTTTTCGCAGCGCTAAAACTTTGCTGTTCAGGCGGGCCGGGTCAGAACTCTGTAGAACCTCCTGCTGCTCCTCGTTAAACGTCTCCTGATCCCAACATCAGCTTCCCCTTAAAGAGAGTTTCAGGTCCGGACTTTGACTAGGCCGTTCATCTAACCGTCCATTAGACCTCTGGGTATTTAGGATTGTTGTACTAATTTAGCTCCTTCCATCTTCTCTGCTGTCCCATAGCATGATGCTGCCACCACCATGTGGTGTTCCTGATGTCAGCATAGATTTTATTTGGGGGTGTCAGAGTCAGCAGGTTCTCAGGTGTGTAATAACTGTCTGTCTGCTTCAGGCCCACTCTGCTCCTGGAGAACCACCAGCCCTGGTTGGACCTGAAGGTTCCCTCCAAGGTGGACGCCGCGGTGGCGGAGGTAAGGAGCCCGGCTCGGTTCTGATCCCATTCATGCTGATGGCGTTCTCACCTGTCCTGTCTGCAGGTGTTTGAGCTGGCTCTGGAAACGTTTGTGCACCCCTGGTACAGGTGAGAGGTCAAAGGTTCCGGCGTCACGCAGGCAGGTAGGCGGAGCTTCCTTTAACTTCCTGCTCTGCTTTCAGGGACATCACCGAGGATGAAGCCTGTCTGGATGAAGTCAGGATGACTTTTCGCTTCTTTGCATCGGTGCTGATCCGCAGAGCCCAGAAGGTCAGGAAGCATTAGGGGGACAGGGGCCCCGATGATCAGGGGCCACGATGATCAGGGCCGCTGTGAACAGGGGCCAGGGTGAACGGGGGCCGCTGTGAACAGGGGCTGCGATAAACAGGGGCCAGGGTGAACGGGGGCCGCGATAAACACGGGCCAGGTTGAACAGGGGCCGCTGTGAACCGGGGCCAGGGTGAACGGTGGCCGCGGTGAACGGGGCCCAGGGTGAACAGGGCCCAGGGTGAACGGTGGCCGCGGTGAACGGGGTCCAGGGTGAACAGGGCCCAGGGTGAACGGTGGCCGCGGTGAACGGGGTCCAGGGTGAACAGGGGCCAGGGTGAACGGGGCCCAGGGTGAACAGGGGCCAGGGTGAACGGGGGCCGCGGGGAACGGTGGCCGCTGTGAACAGGGGCCAGGGTGAATGGTGGCCGCGGTGAATGGGGGCCAGGGTGAACAGGGGCCAGGGTGAACGGGGGCCGCGGGGAATGGTGGCCGCGGTGAACA